CTTTCTTTCCATTCTTCAGCAGCTCGGCACACTAAATTGCGCTGTAACCTCTGCATGTAATCAACAAGTTCCAATTGGCAATAGTGTACACTTTGACCAAAGGATCATAAGTTTTCTAACATACCTCTCGCAGTTCATATCTTTTAAGAAAAAATTTCTCATCACACAAGGACAGTTCATGAAAAAACTTTTCCAACCTCGAAACTTTAAGATATGCAGCATGTTTGTCTTTTAACTGTTTTTGGTAGCAACAGAAGTACATCAAAACATAACTAATCAATAATCAATGAAATTAATAGTTCGATTATGCATGTACCTTCTCGGTGCTCACAATATAGCCTCCCATTTTGTTAAATGCTTGTTTGTACACTTCCAATAGCAGATCAATTGCACCCTACCACGTCGAAGACAAATTAAGGAAAAACAATCACTTTTTTGCAGTGGGGAACATGTGAAAGGATGTGACAACAACAATACTGTTTGTTGTTAATCTGTCAGAACCACTACTACACGAATCAATTTGCGCAGCGTGGCCAAAATGGGCTCCGTGGCGGGCACCACTTTTGCCCGCCACGGTTAACCGGTGGCCGGCCACCGAGGCCGGCCACCGAGGCGCCCGCTTCTTGCGAAAAAAAGGTTTACTGTGGCCACCCTTACTTGCCCGCCGCAGAAATTTATATTTACCGGCGGGCGGGCGGTATGAATGGCCCGCCATGTTAATAAGATTAACCGCGGCGGGCCACATTAATCGACCGCCGCAGAAATTTATATTTACCGCGCATGGCGGCATAAATTGCCCGCCGCGGTTAATAGTATTTACCGTGGCGGGTTGTTTAAACCGCCTGCCCGCGGTAAAGCCCTCTATAAACACGCCGCCTACTTCATCTTCTCCACGGGTCTTCGGTTCTTGATTGTTCGTTTCAAGCAGAGTCTCTCTGCTTCCTCCGCTGGCTGGGCCCCGCCCCCGGAACCCCTAGCGCTGCCACCCACGCGCGCCGCCCCCCCTCCTCCCTGCGTGCCGTGCCCGCCCCGTCCTCCTCTCCCCGAACCCTTGCTCTCCAGCCGGCTGAGCTCCTCCGCTGCTGGGCCCGTGCCCCCCGAACCCTAGCGCCGCCACCGAGCTCCTCCGCGATCACCGTCCACACGCTGGCCCCGTCCTCTCCCGGTCACCGTCCACACGCCTGGCCCCGTTCTCGAGCACAGACGGGCTCTAGCCGCTACCTCCTCACTTGGAACCTCTGCGCCAAAGCCGAGGTAAGAACTAGGCCGAGGTAAGAACTACGTAGTACCTTGGTTCAGTAATTACAATGTCTGTCTCCAAAGCTCAAATTTTATTCTTGTAGTAACTGCTATATTTTCCCCATCTGAAATGTAATTAGAGATTCACATTTGGGCTATCCTAGCTTTCTCTAGGTTCCACTACGTTGTTCTCATCTCTTGTGAAAATGCAAAAGCTGTCTTTCCTTCGTGTATGATGAGGAGTCTTCTAATTCTTACGTTAACTTAGTGTTTAAGGCGGTTTCAGTTAGGGTCTGTTCATAGAGCTCTTAGAGCTGTTTCGAGCTTAGTTATAAATTATATGCTCATTATGCCAAGCAACTTTGAATATGTAGTCACGTAATTCGTGGATAGGAATTTTCAATATCGCCCATATTTAGCCATGAAACACGGGCCGTCTTTTTAACAATCCCTTTATAGGCTTATCTCCAACAGGTTGAGTCAAGTTTCCATATTTAGCTGGAATTTGTGACCTATTTATACTGAGGTTGTCTCCAACAAAGATCGAATCTCAACAACATTGTCTCCAACAACCTATTTGTGAGAAATTTGAGATGAATTGGTCACTCTGCGCAATTTCTAGTAGTATACTATTACTCGCTTACTACTTTCTCTACTTAATCTATTCCTATACTTAATTTTGAGATGACCTGCTTTGTGAACAAGGGGTATAGTAAACTCCTTTTGGAATGGACAATTGAAAATTTGTACAGATAAACTACACTTGGTGAATTTTGAACTGCTATACTACTGATCTATGATGCTTTTCTTTGAACCGTAGCATTTGATTCAATTCTTTTTTGTTGCCTATGATGCCAAAGAAATTTGTGACTAAATTATGAGCATATGGTGCGCCTATGATGCACCTTGCCTTTAAACTGATCACATGCTAAAGTTGTGAGAATTTTGAGATGAATTGGCCACTCTGCTGCAATTTTACCAAATTTGATATTATTTTGGTGGTGGTGCTACCTATTTCTCTACTTAATCTATTCCTATATTGTATCGCTACCACATGTCCTCCTATACTACTCCTATACTATTGCTATACTCACTGTTGTATACTACTACTCGCCTACTACTACTCCCTCCTCCTCTACTCCCTCCTCCTCGATCCACCGCCTACTCCTCTACTCCCTCCTCCTCTCCGCCTACTCCTCTACTATCCTCCTCTCAGCTCTTACTCTACTCCTCTTACTCTACTCTACTCTACTCTCACCTCCTCTAGTCTTCTACTCTATCTTGATGGTCGAAGGACTTAGCCCTTTGGGGCCAAATTTTGAAACTATCTTGATGGCTTTTGTTTGGTATTTGCAATGATGATTCTTTTCACACTTCTAAGTCGAGGCGTTGGCATATGCAATGATGTGAACCCTTTTATCTTTGGCGTGGCGATGATGATCGAGTGCCCCCGCTAAACTAGGATGGCTTGTATACCAGATACAAGCAACCAGTTTAAAAGCGATGTGATGACTATGGGGCAAATCTGAGCCAACTACTACTACTTTAAGGCTAAGCATAAGAACCGCATCAAAATCAGACGCAACTTTCCGGTAAGTATTTGAAAGGTTTAATTGTGCTTTTCTGTTCATATATGTTCTAATGCCTGTGTTGTAATGCTTATGATCGATCATGCAGTGTGCCAAACAACCGGTAGGATCACAAACCTGTGGCTTCTACGCCTGTGAGATCCTGAGGGTGTGCAAGCAGTACAGCAGCAATTGGAAGGTGCTCAAGAATGGATTGAACTGGTCGAGAGACATGCAGAGCATCCAACACAGCTTCAAGCAGACAAAGGCGGACATATGTAAGTTTGTCTTAGACAAATGCGTGCTTGAAGGGGGCACGTTCTTCCATGAGAACAGCCAGCTAGCGATGTTACCGGAGTACGAGAGGCTGAGGAAATGGCCCACGATGATGCGTCCGCAGGATTACACTTTAGCGCATGTATAACGACTTTAATATGTAAATGTAATGAATTAACGATGACAAGAACGACTAAGTGAATGTATATATATATATATATATACATGTATATTATTTCATGTGTAATGTCTGCATACTTTTTAAGTTTAATCTGTGAAATCTGGATGTGATTTGAATTTGAATTTGAATTTATATGCTTGATGTATTTTATTTGAATTTATATATATGCCTGCTTTATTTTTTTAATTCAGGAAATAATTTACCGAGGCGGGCAAATAATAAAGCCCGCCACGGCAAATCAACATAACCACGGCGGGCCACAAAAGGTGCCCGCCGTGGTTAACTTCTATTTATCGCGGTATGGCGGTGTAACGTGCCCTTGGTAAAGATATATTTACCGCAGCGGCACACGTTATACCGCCGCGCATAAAAGAAGAGTTAACATGTGGTGGGCGGCCGCCCGCTTGTGGTAAGCCACGATTTATCGTGGCTGTGAGGTCACAAGGACGGCTTTTTGCCCGCCGCGGGAAACCCAAATCGCCCGCCTCCAGTAAACTTTATGTAGTAGTGAACCAGACGGCATATGTGCACCTCATGTATCTCAACTGAAGGAATATGTGGAATGAAGTCATTTCCTGTCAGGAAACAGTTAAATATGAAATCATCTATTAGCCTCTCGATATCCATTTTGACAACCGGGTTTGGTATCTTCAAATCAAGCTCTAGGTACTCCCACCAAACCTATATGTTAAAAAACTGCAAGAAAGTGGTGTTATAAAAAAATTAAATTGGAAAGACCCTGCTATCATCTTTGAGGAACAAACCTGATAAGGTTTCTTCGGAGACCTGTCCCTAGGAGTTGTTTCTAATACTCGCGGGAACCATCCACTACATTTTCTTGAGGAATCTTCAGTTTTGAATAGTTCTTTAGATAGAGGGATGCAATTTTCAGGCTGAATCGGACGTAACACAACCTGTCCAAGTTAACAAAAGGAGTTTTCTCAACTAAATATTTACAAAATTCTGCAATTACATTTAACTTCAATACACCGTTGCTTGCTAAATCCAATTAATTAAATGTGGTTTTGCCAAAAACTATCATAGTATGGATGAAGCCGGAGTTGATACCGAGGATAGATTGGCAGACCTCACACAAAATTGAAAAGTGAAGTTCGTGAGATGCCAAAGCAAGCATTATTAGGTCCGCATCCTGTAATGATATTCAGAGTGTAAAAGAGGCACAATAAAGAGAACAATTAGAAGATCAGTGATGTAGAAAATATTCAAATATTTTGTTAGTCCATCGGACCAGTCCATACAAGCATGCCTTGTGTTTGGATCATAGTTCTCCAGGCTCCGTTGTCCCCGGATGAAAGACATATCTTGTGTTCACCTTCTCCAGGTACATTTGAATCAGAGAGTATTAACTTCAGAACGCAAGTATTGTGACGGTTGTCAAGTAATTATCATGTTGACCAAATTCAGGATCTTGACCAAAATATGTGATTAAGTTAGCCCCTCATCAAAAGAAAAGCACAATGCCTCAGATTAAAAGAAATTACCACTGTTCATTTTGATATTTCATCTTGTAACAGTAAATACATAAGTTGACGTTGAATTAAATACTTTTGTGGCAATGTTAAAAATGTCATTTTCATTTGCCTTGTAACAGTAAATACACAAGTTGTTAAAATATATATTTCACCTTGCAACAGTAAATAGACAAGTTGCTAAACTTTAGATATTTACTGCAGGACTGCAAAAATGGGAAATTGTATATAAATAAAACAAGAGTACTAAACCTTGATGCCTTTCCACCCGGAGTCACTATTCAACCGGGAACGGATGTAGTACTCGAGGGCTTTGGAGAGCTTCTCCATGAACTCCGTCCCCGGCGTGATGACGTTGGGATCCGAAACCTCATTTGTCTCCCGCGGTTGCACCTCCCTCCCTTCAGCTCTGAACTTCTCCCTCAGAATCTTCTCCTCCAGTTCCTGTAAATCATCACAGCATCGAACATACAGTCATACATACATATACGGTTCCTGCAAATAAATCATAGCAGCAAACAAATCCAGACGACGGTGAAGTGAGGTCCGAGGCCCGAGGGGTTTATTTACGTACCGCATCTTTAGCGTCCTTGGCAGCCTTGAAGCGCCTGGACCTCTGCTGGTTCATTTTGGCGCGTGGAGCAACGCCATCTGCAGTTCAAACAAGACACGCAAATGCGTTGTATTGTATCGATGAAACGCCAAGAAAGACGATGGAAAAAAACGGATGAAACATGTACTAGTATACAGGAGTACACGTACCTACAGCCAAGTAGAGCAGCTTGGTAGGCCTGACGATGCGGAAGAGGAGGTCGATGTACTCGAACATGGCCACGAACACCTCGTCGAACGTCGTTGGCGGGCACACCTGCATTGCGTATTCACGACATTTTACCAGGTCGTTGGGCTGAAATTGGCTGAAAAAACAAGCCACAGCTAAAATATTGTGAGAGAAAAACACGGTTCCGGCTGGAAAAAAAAAAGCCGAATAAGCCAGTTTTTAAGGTAAGGCAAACGGGGATTCACAGTTGAGGAACTCGATCGATCCATCAGGCGGATGATGTGACGTGTGTGTAACATGTGTGTTACAGACGACATACCTGGTCCTCCGGGTGGAAGCAGGGGTGGATGATGCCGTTCATGTCCAGGTACAGGTTGTGGTAGACGCCATTGGGGCCGCCGGCTTGTTCGTCCCCCGGCGATGGCGACGACGACGTGCCGGCGCCAGCTTCGTCGTCCTCCTTCGCGGGGATGACAATGTTGGGGTACTTGCCCACGAGCCACTTGTAGAAGGCCCTGTTGGATCAGTTTTGGATTCTTAAAACTCAGTTTTTGCCAATGCTTTTTAAAATATGGATTGTGAGCAAAAAATAGTGAGGCGTTTGGATCCTCTAGTTTTTAAAAATTTTGCTTTATTTATTGCTATATATGTCAAAAAAAAACTAGCAAAAACTAGATATCAATAACTTTCTAGTTTTTAAGAATACAGTAAAAACTGGCAGAAAAAACCACGGTGTTTCTCACTAATTTCTAAAAATCAGATTCTTAGAACTAAAGGGATCCGTCTTAGGCATTCCGCTGCTCAAGCAAACAAAACAAACCATCAAAGCTTCCCTTCCCACTACCGCTGGTATTTATTCCTTTTGCGTTGCCATTGCCATTTGTGGGCAAACATCACCTTAGTACCGGTACTAGTACTAGTTGGACGCCGAGGGAGAGAGGCTGCTCTTAGAGCCTGTTTGGTTCAGCTTCCAACCAGCTGTAGCTTCTTCAGAAGTCAAAAAGCTAACCAAAGGGTTGCAAAGGTGCTACTGAATTGTACAAAAGCTAGCTTTTGGGTAGTTCATTTTTCACAGCAGGGGGAGGACTGCTTTCACCGGCTGTGGAGGATGGAAATTACCCGCACTGCCACGGGTTACAAAGAAAACGCTTCGATCTTTTCCTCTTCTTCCCGTCCTCCTGCATGAGACGACTTCGTCGTCTCGCAGTGGCGACGCCCAGCAGAGCTAGGGTTTGGCGGGCCGTCCCCATCCTCTCCGGCGCCCGCCCGGTCCTCTCGGCGCCGTCCCATCATCTCTCTCCGCCGTCCCCATCCTCTCCGGCGCCGCCCGGTCCTCTCCGGCGCCGTCCCCATCCTCTCCGGCGCCGTCCCCATCCTCATCGCCCTACTGGTCACCCCGGCGGGAGTCCCTGTCTCTGCCCCTTCTCGGTTGCAGGTCGAGGTCGGGCCTCGACGCCGCCGGCGACTTCCGCCACCCACTTGACAAGCAGGTTAGCTTTCTTGGATTAACAAGCTCCTTTCCTTCTATCCACGATAGTGTTCGATTGCGATCGCGGATGAAGGTCCTGTCTTCCAAAGAGAAGCCTTTTCTTTTTTTTCTTGTTTCATCACAGAACACTCTCTTTGCTAAGAGCGATTCTCAGGCTCAACGACATTGGCAAACCAAGTCCAAGCTCCATCGATCTATGCTTCCAAATGACCGGATCTACATGTAAGGTATCTCAATCTCTCATAAATGGTTTAATACATGTTATTTATTCTCAATCCCGGAGAGCTGGATGAAGGTCTTGGGATGATGCACCGGGCTTTTTGATGCGTTAATTTGTGGATGTTGGAATTTCAATCGATGAAGACTCTAGTGCAAGAGTGCTCTTTGCTCAACTGGTGGTGTCATTTTGCTCGGTAGGGCACACTAGATTCTCTAAGCCAAGCAAAGCATGTGTTCTTGCAATTAGTCTGCATGGACACAAGTTAAGCAGGATCCAAAAATCATGCATCTCATCTCGTCCAATTGAAAAGGCGTGCATCTTTATCGGCATATACTTATGCGGATGGCCTTTCGTAATGCACTCTTACACACACGGGTTGTTAGCAGATGATTCGCTTCTCTCATTCTCTCGCTTCATAGTATTTTGATTGCAAGCATTAACTTGGTCCCTGATTGGACACCTGAATTTATTGACGTCTTTGAGCATCATGATTTGTTGTCATGATTCCACTCTTGGTCCCAAACTCCCATAGCCTCATGTGCTCACACTATCGTTATCTCTGCACAACTTTTTTTTCGGTGCGTATGATCGCTGCCTTTTGCATATGATTGTGATGATAAACGTGCCTTGTTGCCCCAAGAGCACACCATTCATTTGTTCTTGAATCCATACACCTGGCCCAAAAATTGTCGATTGAAATATAAGACCACATCTTGCATGTAATATTCGTGTGTCAACTATGTTTCTTTTTTTTTCAGCTTCCGACCGTGACTGGAAGAAGATAGAGGCTTTTGTTGGCTCCAAGACCGTCATCCAGGTATTCCTATTTGTAAACGGAACTATAAGCTGTTTAACTGTATAAGAAGCCTGTTAATCAACGACATTGGCAAACCAAGTCCAAGCTCCATCGATCTACGCTTCCAGATACATGTTATTTATTCTCTCGATTCGATTGGCTTTGTGTATTTGATAGAAATAATGGCATGATATTATGGTAATTAGAATGTCTGAAAATTTTGTTTTGTTTGATTCAAGAATGGGTGACAAGGCAGATTGGGGTGATTTCTTTTTGAAGCATTTGATTGATGTATGCAAAGGGGAGATAGAAGCTGGGAATAGGCCCCAGGGGCTTTGGACTAGCACTGGTTGGAAAAATATTGTAGCCAAGTTTGAAGTCAAAACCGGTGACAAGCGAACAAAGATACAATTGAAGAACAAATTAGATAACTTAAAAAAAGAATATGTTTGGTTCATGGAGTTAAAAATTATGCCTTTGGACTTGGATGGGATGCGGCTAAGGAATCTGTTGATTGCCCCTGTGATTGGTGGGATGAACACCTTGTTTGTAAGCACTATTTCATTGATATTTTGTCCATAGTATGATATGGTGTGTCGTGCTAAAATTTTTCATTCAATTTCAGAGGTGCAATAATCGTGAAAAGGGCTTAAATGCAATCATGTGAGGTTCAGAAAACAAGGACCAAGTACCTTGATGATCTTGATCTGATTTTCGGCAAGGTACATGTGACTGGGGCCACTGCAGCTTGTCCTGGTGATATATCTTCGGATGAGAGTGATGATTGCGTGGGCGAGGTGCCAAAACCTCCACCTAAAGATGATGTCAAGTCTGGCTGATTTGAAGCAAAAAGGAAAAAGAAACATAAGAGCTCTGTACTATTGCTTTGAAAGCAAAGAAGAAAAGAGTCCATTTTATCGATTGTACAAAAACACATGTTTGAAGATAGAAAGTGCAGCAGATAGGATCTCTAGTGCATCTGCCACCTCAGCTTCTCCCACTAATGTTGTCCCCACTATTGGAGAGGCTATGAAGATGGTCGAAGAGTGTGGGGTGGAAGAAGGAACTCCTCTAATGCACACCGCCACCATGCTTTGATCATGAAGCCTGAATTTAGAGAGGTCTTCACCATCCGAAAACAAACAAAGGAAAATTTGGATGTCATTGAGAGAGAGCATGAGAAGGAGATGAGGCGCTAGTGAACCAATTTTATTTCTATTGTTGCTGTGTGAACCATTAAGAATTTGTATTGTGAGCACTATTAGTTGTATGGCTACTGAACCAATTTTAAATTGTACTCGAGAACAATTTGCTTGTCTTTGAGAACAATTTGTACTAAAATTATTTGTATTGTGAGCTTATTATCCTTCTCGTTGATTAGTATCCATGTGCATGTATACATATATTTTTGTCCTTGTTTGTGAGCTTATTATCATTGTGTCGAGATATATATCCTTGTACTTGAGCTTAATAAATGTTAATATTTTTTGTAGATGGATGAGAACACGGAAGGTGTAGCCCAAGGACGTAAGAGATTGCTACTCCTAATGAGCTTTCCAAAGATGCTGCCATTATTGGTCAAATGGGTGCACAATACACTCGATTGTTATTGGAACAAAGGAGAGTACAGGAAACACCGTAAACTCGGACTGCAATGGGTGATGAGGTGCTTTTCTCGTCCAAGGTACTTCTATAAGATGTTTGAATGAGCACCGATGTCTTCATGGCAATCGCATGAGTTGCTAGTCTTGAACTATGGTTTGACCTCCACTAACAATGTTTCATCCATTGAGTCATTGGCGATGTTCTTGTGGATTGTCGGAGGACCGCAATCATTTTCACAAGTGGAAAATCGCTTCACTCGTTCACTGTGGACAGTCCACACTAAGTTTCATGAGGTGCTGAAGTGTTTGCGCAAGTTAGGTAAAGACAATATTAAGCCAAGAGATGCTACTTTTTCTTCGGAACATGAAAGAATCAAAGAAGACCGTTTCTGGCCATACTTCAAAGGCGCTATTGGAGCAATAGACGGTTCACATGTTCCAGTGGTTGTGCCAGCTGAGGATACGGTTAATCACACATGCCGTCATGGATATACATCTCAGAATTTGCTAGCTGTTTGCGACTTTGACATGAGGTTTATCTTTGCGGTTGCTGGTTGGCCCGGTTGTGCCCATGACACACGTATCCTCAATCATGCTTTGGCAAATTTTGATGATTTTCCTGTGCCTCCTAAAGGTATACACATATCACACGTATTATGTATTTGCTTCCTAATGGTTGGACCAGCAGTACGTGAGGTACTTGTATTATTTATTTGCTTACATTGATTTTACTTTGTAGGGAAATATTATCTTGTGGACTCTGGATATCCAAACCGAACAGGGTATCTGGCCCCTTTCAAAGGAAGCACATACCATATTCCAGAATTTCGTAATCGTTCTGGACCACCCCAAGGGAAATATGAGGTGTTCAATTTCAATCATTCATCCCTTCGAAATGTCATTGAGCGGGCCTTTGGAGTATTGAAGGAGAAGTGGCGTATTTTGAAGGGCATACCAAGTTTCTCAACTCGTACTCAGAAGCACATCATTCTTGCTTGTTTGGCATTGCATAATTTTATTCGTGATAGCAATTTGCATGATAAGGAGTTCGAAAGATGTGATGATGATGATGAATACTTGTTACAAGAGGATGACACGACACCGGAAGATGAGATTGAAGATGTGGAGAATGAGGATGCCATGAATATCATTCGTAGTAGAATAGCCGATGCTTTGTTTAGTGTGAGATAGTTATGTTGAGGGATGACATGATTTGATGAGTCCTTATCTTTTGTAAAATGCTAATATTATT